GGAGAAGCAACAGAAATATTTGATATTTGTCTTGTTTTAATTCTTATTTTGATAAAACATGAGAATCTGGGACTCATCCACCGTTCAGCTGCTTCATCTAATATGAAAATAAAAAACAACATGAGACTCTTTAAATGTCCTGCCCTCCGCTTCAGCTCCAGTGTTTCCCCCACAGACGGAACAAACCAGACTTCTTCCCTCCTCCGCTCGTTTCATCCCTCTCTCCTCTCCCTCCCCTCTCTCCGTTTTCCAGCCTCTGATCCAGAAGGTTTCCTCCATCCTCTTCCTCAGCACATGACGCAGGTAGCTGACTTAATAAAGGAAACCCCGGGGGGAAGTTCATGCCCTAATAATTGCAGACTGAGTTTTGGAAACTCAAGAAAGAAAAGACGAGAATGAAACATGACTGAAGTAGATGAATGTTGCTGGAGACGCCGCGTCATTCCTTTATTTTGACAGTTACCTGTTTCACCCAGTGTTTCCTGAATTAACGAACCCTGAGATGAACAAGTGACCGACACTAACCTGTGTTTCTGTGATTGACAGTACGGGATGGGAAGTGGCGGCGGCTCCAAGTCCTCCTTCACGCCGTTTGTTGATCCACGGGTCTACGGGACGTCCCCGACTGACGATGACGATAACAACTCCGCCTCAGGTACGGGAACAAATTTTCGTTCTCCCTCTCACGCTCACTGTTGCTGGTGAAGACGTCATCGTCACATCGTGTTGTTTGTGTTTTGCGTCACAGCGCTGTTTGCTGACGAGCTGCTGAAGCAGGAGCAGGAGCAGGAGCAGGCCAGACTCAACGAGGCCAGAAAGATCTCCGTGGTCAACGTCAACCCGACCAACATCAGGCCGCACAGCGACACGCCCGAGATCCGCAAATACAAGAAACGCTTCAACTCTGAGATCCTCTGCGCTGCGCTGTGGGGTGAGACACAAAAACAACGACACCACAACAAAACACGAGTCACGCACAAACACGCAGGCAGTGACAACCAGGACGTTTGTGTGTCCGTGCAGGAGTCAACCTGCTGGTGGGGACGGAGAACGGCCTGATGCTGCTGGACCGAAGCGGTCAGGGCAAAGTTTACAACCTGATCAACCGACGGCGCTTCCAACAGATGGACGTCCTGGAGGGACTCAACGTCCTCGTCACCATCTCAGGTCGGTTTCTTTCCTTCAGAGCTGGAACCTGGAGGCTGGGTCAGCAACACGCAAGATATCAGCATCGATACGTTTCCTTTAGGTTGTTGATGTTTAAATCAGGTTCAGGTCGAAAAAACTACATCTCAATTATAGCAATATAATATTTATTAATGTCAATTAAACAAAAGTCCACATACTTTGATATAATTATTATGTATTGTGCATTTAATCGACATTATCATTATAGTATTCAAAACATAGCCTTCACTCAGGAGCAAGAATCTGTTTCCAGACTCAGGATCGACTGGATCACAGAGTTTATGTTTTTAAGCTGAGAATCAAACGATCGGATCATTTCTCAGATCCTCGATGAAAAGATGAAATTCTCCTTTTTCTTGAGAGGAAACGAAATCGTCCTCACTGCTTCACTCCAGTTTATGTCCGACTGTACGTTTTCAGAACATTAACAGAAAAATAAAACGGCTCAGCCTCAGCGTGGAAACGTTTCTGTACGAGATGATGGATTTAAAAAAACAAACAAAACACACACTTGGTGTTAAAAGATTTTTATTGTGATTTTTATCTTTATCATTTTTAACCAAATCATCCATCGCTGGTTTTGCCACATTTGCCTTTTTCTCTTTTTGTGTCGTTGCCTGTAAAGGATCTGACTCAGAGAGTTTGAAATCCAACAGTTTTCTTTGTTTTGTTTTTCTGAACCAGGCAAGAAGAACAAGCTGCGTGTTTACTACCTGTCGTGGCTCAGAAACAGGATATTACACAATGACCCTGAGGTGGAGAAGAAGCAGGGCTGGATCACTGTCGGAGAGCTGGAGGGCTGCGTCCACTACAAAGTCGGTGAGAAACCTCGTTCACGACAGACAGCAGCTTTCACTCCTGAGCTCTGGATATTCTCCTGAAATTATCTGGAGGTTCTGTTTGAGAGAACACAAATGTCAGAGTCAGGTCTCCGCAGATTCTCCTGCAGCCGCGAGTTAAAACTCTGTAAAATGTCAAAGTGAGAAAACAGCAGGAAAACATCTGGAACCTTCCCAGTGAGCGAGCGGACGTGTCGATGACGTTGTGTGAATCTGCTGCTCCACAAACACTGACTACACAACACGTCTACACATGTCCACACAACACGTCTACACAACACGTCTACACATGTCCACACAACATGTCTGAATAGGACAAGAATCTCCTGATTGTTTGCTTCATATCTGTTTTTCCAGTGAAGTACGAGAGGATTAAATTCTTGGTGATCGCTCTGAAGAACTCGGTGGAGATTTACGCCTGGGCGCCGAAGCCGTACCACAAGTTTATGGCCTTCAAGGTAAAATGTGTGGGAGGGTGTTGGATGTGTTAGAGGTTGGTGAGAGTGGGTTGGGTGGCCGGAGGCTTTATGTTTCCAGGTTGTCATTCAGTTGGACTCAACGATGAACTGATTAGATTTGATTGTTCGAAGGTCAAAGGTCAAGGTCACGTTAGCCTCACGATGAACGTTTTGTTTCTCAAGTCTGTCTTTTCCAGAATTTCACGTTTCGAACACAGGACGGTGATTCTAGTGGTTGTGTCTTTTTTGGAGCGTTGAATGAATCCCTCGCTCTCTTTCTCCGTCAGTCGTTCACAGAGCTGCAGCATCGCCCCCTGCTGGTTGACCTGACCGTGGAGGAGGGACAGAGGTTAAAAGTCATCTACGGCTCCACTGTGGGTTTCCACGTCATCGATGTGGACTCTGGCAACCCGTACGACATCTACATCCCTTCACATGTAAGAGTCATGAAGCGTCTCGGATTTGAAACAAGCAGCAGAGAGAAGCTCCCGGAGGAATTGTGGGTTTGTTTGTGATGCGGGTTTGAATCCTGGGCGTCCTTTGAGCAGCAAAACAACGCCCCCTGCAGGTTATTCAGTGAACACCCATGAGTGTGGCTGAAATTTTACTGTAACATGGAGGTGGAAGAGTTTTGTCTGTACATTTATTCATATGAAGTATTTATTCATTGAAGTATTTAAAGTATGAAGTATTTAAAGTATGAAGTATTTAAAGTATAAAGTATTTAAAGTATGAAGTCGTGTGTGAAGCTGAAGGAATCACTGATGTTATTAGACTGGATGAGTGAGTGAGTGAGTGAGTGAGTGAGTGAGTGAGTGAGTGAGTGAGTGACGCAGCGAGTGAACGCGTGAGCGATGGAGTCGGTGAATCGGTGTCCTCCTCTAACCCTTGTCTGGTTACAGTCAGAGATGGACGGGGGCTGGAGACGGTAACCACAGCAACCGCCTCACATTGCTCTTGGCATTCATGAATCACGCTGTGCTCATGTCTGTTTCCATGGCGATTGCATGGCAGCGGAGCGGG